TGCACCTATTTCTACAGATGGTAAATCAACACGGTTTTTAATGTAGCCCGATTAATTTATTTATTATACATAGTGTCTGATTTACCTGAAATTGACATTTCTATCTTTGTAAATAATAGCACAATACCAGTGAGCAGCAGGTAAATTTCATTATGCTTTATTAATTTTCAGTATTGTTAATGTAGCCCAACTCTCACATTAAAAGATTTACTTAGCAAAGTGTAAGGTTGTCAGTATTGAAATCATTTTAGCTAATTTGTTCATAGGCATTACAGCCTTTGGGATATGATCAAAATTTTTTTTAAAAGGTGAGTATTGAAACAATAATTCTAGCAAACACCAAAATTAATTATTATAGATTATTTTTGGGATTTAAGGATACCGATCCAAAACGTCCATTATTGTTAGTCATTGTGCACACTATTTTTTAAATGTTATAAATTGTTTGAAGGGAACCAGAAATTGATACTTTCCTTAAGGAATTAGAAGAACATTTTGTAAAAGACTGTCATGAATATTTTGAAAAGATTAAACCAGGAATAGTACGGGTAATAAATCAGTCTTAAACTCTAGATTCATTTTGCATAATTTTTGTTTCCTCTCAAAAATAGGGCTATCTAGAAGAGCATAGAAAAACTGCTGAGAAACACATAACTGATGTGGAACAGCAATATTCCAGACAAAGAGAAGCGATGGATGCTCAAGTTAGAGAAGTAAGTAAAAGCAATCCTAAAGAAATATTTAATTTGGATCCATTATAGTGGAGGAAACAAGCTAGATTTAATAGGGAAACGGTCAAATCTCATTCTGATTTAATTGATAATCTGGAGAAGCAAAAGGTTCATCTTATATCTCTAGCCAATCAATTTGGAATTTCCTTGTGTCCCAAACAAGATTAATAGTAGTGTAACAAGATTAATAGTGTGTGTGTGTGTGGACTTTTGTTTGTTTGTAGTTTTAGATCTAACTATAATAATAGTGATAGTTGCAATAGAGTTTCTATGTAGTGATTGACTGATTGTGGTTCTATAATTAGATCTAAAGTTATAATTTTGGCTTGCTTTATGTCTATTATGTTTGTCTATATGCTATTATAATTTGAGCTGATCACAACTTTTAAAAGCAATTTACAATGATTTTACAAAAACAATGCTCTGCATACACAGCTCTGACCCTGAGCTCCACCCATTGAGGAAGTGATGTGCTGTAAAAGTCACGAAAAGAATCTTCACAGTTCACACTTCACCGGCAGTCACTTTGTATAACTATAACCTTACTTTGCTGTGGTAAGCAAACTCTTTAGTTTATTACCAGCCCGAGCCTTACAAGTTCCACTAATACCTGTACCAATGGCTGCCTGGAGTAGATCCTGTACAATAGCCGCGCTAACACTGCTCCTCCTTACTACATCATGTCTATCACAAACTGGTAAGAAATAACACCCTCTCCTCTCTCTTTCTCCTTCTGTTCTTTTTTCCCTCCTTGTATTGCTGTAATTAATCTCTCTTCTCCCAATCTCTCTCTTCATCTCTCGTTATCTCTTCTTTAGGAGTAGTAATTCAAGTCAAGATGGGCCCGTTCGTCTCTTGTAGCACGTGGACAGTAAGCAAAAAGCATAATATTTTTATATTTATTATTACAACACACTAACACTTTTATTTTTGCCAACTATTAGCAGGTTTTTGTTTACTTACAATTGACTGTAGCTTTCCTAATTAACATGTCACGTTGTCTTATAAACAATTTAATGTTTTGTATAGTTTATCTTCTCAAACAATGAGAGAGTCAAAGTGAATGTTTTGTTTATGAAATACCTTCAAAAATAACAAATAAAATAGTATAGCATATATTATAATAAATTCTTTTGTGTTATGTTGTGATTAAGTGTCTAATCATCCATAGACGCTACAATTTGAGTGGCTTCCATTAAAAGTTAACAGTTTAAAGTAGCTCTAAGATGCTGCAGCTGTCTTTACTATTATTTTTAAAAAGTTGTACTATAAGACCCGCCATTGGCACTAACTGTACACATGTACATCACATGCACTGTAATACAATACCTGTATTTATTATTATTATTATTATTATTATTATTATTATTATTATTATTATTATTATTATTATTATTATTATTATTATTATTATTATTATTATTTTGGGTGTTGCACATGATTAGCATGTGATACAATAACACAGTGTCCCTCTCTATACATTCTTTTCAAATTGATTCAATTATTATTTGCAGCTGTACATGTACACACTATGGTATTTACTATATCAACCTATTATGCTCCATTGGTTCTCTGTTACTATTTTAAGTCATTACCATAAAAGGGCTGTTCTATATTTATATATGAAGACCAAAAGGGAGGGAGTTTTGCTTGTGTGGTTTGAGTATAAAAATATTTCTTAAAGATTATCCAAGCAACATCAAATAGAGAGAACTGGATGCAGCTGATAATTTTCTTTGAATGTGTTGTGTTTGTCACTTTCAATTTCACATCCTCCCTTCCTTTCCTTAGTCTCTCTCTTTCCTTCTTCCTCATAAGTATATACTTGTAAAATACATGAGGTCATATTAATTATTATTTATAATATATTCTATGGTTGGAAATATTAGCAGGGAATTACTATTCGTGATTGGTAGTTACAGCAAAGTTACAATAAAGCAATATTATTATTAAGCATACAGTACATGTATTAACAGTGATATTGTATTATATACATGTACATATGCAGTATACAGTGGACATTCATGAATATAGGATCCATTTCATTTTGTTTTATTCTGAGCATGCTTAATGACATTGTGGCTGCAAAATGCAATTACAAGCTATTTTAATTAACAAAATATTGTTACAATTTTTCCAGCAATATTGTTTGTATTTTAAAAATAATATATCCCATTTCTCTCTCTCTCTCTCTCTCTCTCTCTCTCTCTCTCTCTCTCTCTCTCTCTCTCTCTCTCTCTCTCTCTCTCTCTCTCTCTCTCTCTCTCTCTCTCTC